TACGCATCGAATTCAGAAGACGTCTGTCTGTTTTTTGGGCTGAGACCCACCAGTTTCGAGCCGGCGAGAGAATTCGTCTGTTTCGCGAGACGAACGGGAAAATCGAAGGAGATCTCTCTTTCTCTCTCTGTAATTCAGTGTGTCAATTAATTCAACGATTATAATTCCGAAGCTCTAATCACTCGGAGAAAAAGGAAAAACGGCAGAAATAATTCGAAGATAATTTTACGGGGCGTATTTGAGTATCGCGCGTAAATGCGCCCACCATTCGAAGACATTTTAAAGGAAATGAATTCTAAATCGACGGAGGATCGATCGACGGTCGTTTCGGGTTGCAAATGTCGCCTGTCCAAGATAGAACGGGAGCCCCCCGTGGGTCGCTTACCCTTCCTCATTTTTATCGTCGTAAATCTGGCGGCGCGAATGCACTGGTCACGCGCTGTTTCCCAGTGACTTGTTGCCCACGATCCATGTCCCCCCCGGGACTTCGCGACCCCGCGAGATCCATAGACGAACGGAACCCGTGCCAGATCTCAGCAAGATCCGGTCGCCTGTTTTCCCTGGCCGGGGGTTCCGGCCGGTCTCCCTCCGTCTCTCTCTCTCTCTCTCTCGCCCCCTTTTTCCGTTCAGAATCCACGATTCGGACTTCAGAGAAATTCTCACGAACTCGAGACCCAGTCTCTCGAATTCTCCGGAGCGCAACACTAATTATATTCGCAACTGAGAGAGAAGGACGATTTGATTACAAATCACGAGTTTTCTCAACGACGCGTTAAGATACCGCAAGGGCTCGTCTCATTGGCCGCACGGAGTCTCAAAATGAACTTGAAACGATCTTAGATATAGATCAATCTCTCTCTCTCTCTCTCTCTCTCTCTCTCTCTCTCTTTTCCAAAAAAAGAAAGAGAGAAATAAAAAGAAATGGGGTAACGTATTTCGAAAGATAATAAAGGGACAGATTTGGGTCACGCAGATACAGCCCGATCTTAAAGACGGCCGAGAAAGAGATTAGGCCGTCCCTCTCAGACGTCCCTTGGACTTTCCATTACCGTGGTTTTCCGATTGTGCCTTCCAACGTCAATCACGACGTACGTACTTTGAGGGAGGCCGAGCCAAGGCGGGAAGGAGAAAGGGCGATGCGATAGTTACCTATGGTGTCGAGGATAGTCACGCCATACGCGATCAGCGCGTGAGCGAACTGCCGAGGCACGCGCCGCTCCGGAGTACGTAATTATCATAGGGAGGCTAGGATTGCCCTCAGACACACACAGAGACACGGACAGACACACGCATACACATGCACGCGCACACATAAGCACACAAACATACATACAGGGGGTCGAGGGTCAGTCGACTCGGGTCAGGAAGTCACGCGAGGCTCACTAGGGGAGCGGAAGGGCAAGCAGAAACGGCGGTGGGTAGGCGGGGGGAGAGGGGGAGAGTGCTTTTATTGTTCTACGAGTCGTCTTAAAGTCGCTTTTCCTGGCCAGCGGGCAGACCCGCTGAAACCCCGCTGGTGGTCGATAACGCGACGTGACGTTTCTCGACGGACGCGCGAGCGCGCCGCGCGATCTCGAGAGTTCTCGAATCGACCCGCCGAGTTTTATGCCACTTTCGTCGTGTAAAGTAATATTCGCGCGGAAAAATAACACGGAGGGGTCCATACACCGGGCCGGAAGATTAAGAGAGATCGAGAGAGACGGGGGCGACGCGTGAATCGAGTGAAAAGTGGTGTATGAAGTCTGCATTAATAATCGTCACTTTTGAAACTCGTCTCAAGCGAGATAGTCAAATTTGAATTTCGAGTCAGATGTGTGACGAAGAGTGAGATGCTTTTTTCCCGAGTTAAATCGCGACGAGAGATCTGATTATCGCGCGCCGCGATTGACTGTAATTTACAGTGGGAGAAAGAGAGATAGCGACAATAACAATTTACAGATAATAATTCACAGTGAAATAACAATTCTCTTTCCTCTCAGTGGGAGGAAATATTAATGCGGGCTCAGGTTACCGTTTTAGATATTTGCCGAACTCATCGACACGAACGAAGAATCCATTCCCGAGAAGCCCCGCGGCTCGAAAATTTCCAACTGTTTTCAGCACGCCCACGACGACGGCGCCCACGCCGTAGAGATAATTAAGCATTCGCGATTCACGTGAGAAGGCTTTTTTCATCGCTTCAACTTTAGATTGGATCGCGTGGTCTCCGCCGCGAGTATCCCAGGTGCGCATTTCGGTGCACGGGAAGGTTATATGAGCATGACCTGCTTCAGAGCGTGGAAACAACTTTGGGCCACCGAGCACGCGAGCAACATTAATGGGCATACTCGAATTACCATTCCGCAGATATATCTCTAATGTGTTAATTCCCGGGTGTCAGTTCATCATTGTCCTCGCATGACGTTACACCGCATGTTGGAACACCGCGGCCGAGCGAGGAAATCATTTGCATCGGGCCGCACGGTTCAGAAAGACGATTCGTTCCTTCGACGTTCCCGTTGCATACGAAACGACCGGTTTTTCTGCCCGCGGATTTCTGCCACCGTCGCGGTTTCTACGTCGCGCGGACACCTGCTTCGTCACGTGTGAAATTATAGTTGGGAAAGTTGCCATTCTTCAAGGTATGGTCGCCGGTGAATTCGACGAAAATGATCGCGAGAATGATCGCACGACTTCTACCTCGTTACTCGTCACGTGGAAGAAATTGCTAAACTAATCTCGCTAGAAGTCATAGTCATTTTCGACACCGTCAACCGTCTCCCACCGCGAAAATGAGAAAATTCCCGACGGTAATTGTTTTCCCGTGCAATCACACGCTTCCTTCTCAGTAGACCAAATTAAGAAATATCGCAGCCACCTTTTCGCGCCACGAATCGTTGCCAGTCTGCGTTTGGCATTTCGCGAGTCAACATTCCCATAAGCGCGTTATTTGTACACCCGGAAGAATAGGCACCCCCGAGTGTTCGCCGAAACTCCTGCGGATTAAGATCCTTTGTACGCGCGCGCGAGCTGGTCGAACGAAAGTACAAACGGGCGCATCCGTCCGAATCCGCCGAGGTTGGGTCGCTGGCTGCGAGAGACGAGCTTGTAATTTCAATTTCACGCGGTCTAGAAGACCGCAAAGTGCCCCCCGGGTCACCACGCGTCACGTCACGTAATTTCATGAACCTCGCTGTGACACCACGACGATGTCACTCCCTCTCGCATCGCGGCGCAAAGCGTAAACCGAGTCAAAGGCAACCCCGTGCCTGTCAAGATCAGAGGGCGGCGTTGAAGTCGCGCCATTCGAAAATGCCCCGGAGCTCTCGCGCTCTCGTGATGAAGCAAATCGTCGTGCATGTCCTCGCTAAAGCACGATCACGACCTGAGCATCTAACTTCCTGACGCGACACGAAGTTTCGGCGAAATATGTACGGGATCAAAGTCCTCACCGTCGAAAACCACCGTCCCTTCCCCTCTGGAAGAACAGAGGAAATATCAAACCCGAAGTTACCGCAATTCGTGCAAAAATTAACACGACCGCCACCGTGCGTCACACACGTGTGACACAGCGATTCCCACGAGAGACCGCAGTCATTTGAATGACAACGACAATTTTTCATTCTGTGCGCATATAAATAAATTAGAGCCTGGAACACGATGCGTTGAGTATCCCCGAGTCGAAATTGTAGTCCTACATAAAGTCTACTTGGTTCCACGCTGAGGAAGACTCGAATGCTACGAAGGGGAAGTTACTTCCGTTTTCTTCACTCAAAGACTCGAATTTTAAATTCCCCTCCGGGAGAGTCTGATTCCCTTTGTAGCAACAAAAGAGCACTATTAGTGCTCCTTTGACGCTACAAATGGAAAGTTATTTCCGTTTCCTCCATTTGGAGACTTAGTGCAGAGCTGAGTGGATTTAGTGTAGAACTGAAATTTCGGCTCCCTTCAGCCCCCCTCTGGACCTCGTCAAGCCGACTCGCCGCTCGACCGTTCTGTACGCGATTTACCGCGACGTACACGCGGCATATTGCCGTGTGTCGCGCATCAGGTTACGCTCAAAGCCCTGAGAACTAAGGTGCGACACGGCAGGCTGCGAAAGCTGAATGCAATCCCGTCCGCATTCGCGGGCAAGGTGGACTGGCTGATGGCGCCGACGCGCGTCCGAGGGGGGCGAGAAGACCTTTACACCCTCTCTCGCGGAGGTGAATCTCGAACTCACGCGTCGTCGCGGCCGTGCAACGCCGAGCTGACGAACGGCCGAGAGCCGTTTATAACAAAGATGCCCGCGGGCAGGGCTCTGTGATCTTCGCGGGATGATTGTGCCAGCGCCGGTGGTTGGCGTCCACACAGGGTGGGGCCTGTTCTTCGGCGTTACCACCGTGCGGCCAGGCGTCTCCACATAGCCCCCGGGGCTTGCTCTCTCCGCTTCCCTTCTCTCTCTCTCCCCTCTCGCCCGCTCTACGCGAGCGACGACAAAGGGGCCGCGGTTCAACGCGCCACAAAGCGCCGGGACGCCACCTACACCAACGCCCACGCTCGCTTCTCTCTCTCTCTCTCTCTCTCTACACGCGCTCGCTGCACGCACAAAGCCTCGAGAGAACAAGCCGGGGTGTCGCGACGCGTGAACTTGCACCCAGCGGCGCCTCGACCCACCCTTCAACGAGTATACGTAGCGTCTAGCGAACCGAGAGTGAGGCGAAGAGAAAGAAACCTCCCCTCCACCCCCCGCAGTCGGAGGGAGTCTTCGTGCGAGGGGGAATGGAAGAAGTCGCGACGGAGTGCGCAACGGGTCGCGGAATTTCGGGAAATGATTCGCTGTATGAAACGACTGCTTAACGTCGACAACGTTGCCACGAGCGACCGGCTGTGCGAACTTTCGTCGCCCGAAACGCGACCGGAAAGCAAATAACGCGACGTTTTCACCTTCTTTCTATGTTAACCCCCCCTCCCGCCTCTTCGGTGCCGCTGCTGCAGCCAACGTCTTCGTAACTAGGTTACAGATCTCGGGGAAGACTTACCCTGACCAGGTGCCGGCGACGTGGCGTGGCTCCAGCCTCCCTTGTAAGAGCTGCCGGCATCTGAAAGTAAAAGAGAATCGCTTTTCAGTCGGCTTTATCAGCGGCGTTTCCTTAGGAAAAAAAAAAGAGAGAGAGAGAGAGGAAGAAAGGGCAAACAAATCTAGCCGTGACGTAGCGCGCTGTAAATCTACGGTTTATCGATCCGCGCGAACCGGTACTTCGTGATCCGGCCGCGGCGGCCGATTGCGATTACACATTTTGAGGTCACGTCGGCAGCGGGGCGTATATTGTCCGCAATTACCGGTTAATCGGTTCGAGGAATCGCGAGTAGCCATAAAGTATATCTGATCGCACCGGGGCGAAAGCGCCTCCGTGCTGGCCTACGTCGCGTCGTCCTGGCGGCCGAACGACGCTGGAAAAACGCGGTTCTTCTGCCCCGCGTCGATCTTTTACGGCTCACTTTAACGGCTCGCCGTTCCCGCACGAGCCCCACGCGAGAAACACGAGAGACGTGCACACGAGGGTGTTGTACCTATGCGCTCCCGTACTCGTTCACGAGTGCATTTATCGTCCTTGAAATCTGTCCCCGTGAGATATCTGTATTCGCCGGTCGGTGGACTCGAAGCTGTAGCTTTCCTCCTTTCCACCCTTATCGAAACTACAAATGTTTCGCTACTCGCTGCACGCCGTAACTGTGATCATAACTTCTGGAATTTTTCGCCGTAAAATGCCACGTGTGTGTGTGTGTGTATGTGTATGTGTGTGTGTCGGTAAGAGGAAGAAGAGAAAGGCGTGGAAAGCACCGATTCTTAGGCAGTTTTGAAGATTCTTCCACTTCGGGCCAACCAGATTTCGCCAATCACTTCTTGCAACGCACCAGATGATTTTTATACTATTGACTTTTATATCACATAGGAACGTATACTGAGGAGCTCCTTCTCCTGACTCAAACTAAAATCTTGCTTGGATATGGACAAACAAATGTTTTGATTGTGAGAACCAAAGATTTGATTTTCTGAGGCGAAAGTGAAAAACCTTTGATTCGGAGAGGCAAACTTCGCTTCTCACAACCAAAATATTTGTTTGCCCATATCCAAACAAGAATTTTGCTCGAGCCAACCAAATGGATTTCTCAATGTAGCGTTTCTATGATTTTCCACTGATTTCCACTTTAGCGTAAAAGTTACCTAACGCGTCGCAAGAATTAAGCGTGGGGAGCAAAACATGGTCAAATCCGCTGCACCAGATTCCTTTCTTTTATCATAGACGACGATATTCGAGCGACAACGATCGTCAAGCCGTTACGAGACGGAGAGATCGAACGAAAATTATTCGAATGATACTTGCAGCAGCACACGTGCACGGAGTGTCGCGTTGGCAACGTTATTATTCGCCGTGGGCGAAGCGACGCCCGCAAGTGTCTCTGCTCCTCGGCGAGAGCGTCGCGGCGTCGGGCAGGCGTACGATCGTAGGAGCGCGTCCGTCGGTGGCGGTGGCGTGTTTGCGAACAGATATATTTTCATTTGGCAGTTATTGGCACGAGGGTCGACCCTCGTGTGTACATACGTACGTCGCGTCGCGCGGCAGAAACTCCGACTTTCCGGGCAAACAACGGCCTCACGGCGAGCGCACGGCTCACCCGTGTCTCACGTGATCCTTCGTCTTTACTGCCCCCTTCATTTGATCTGGAGACCGGAGTCCATTAATGGAGCCTCGGATTTCACGTTTCTCAAGTGCCGGGAAGGGTGGGCGCGCCGCCGATCGCTCGCTCGCTCGCCCGCCAAGAGCGCCGGATTTTCCACGAGTTTTCCCACACGAGACCCGTGATTCTACCTCGGAAAATCCTCGCAGGAAACTCCCCGGAAGGAAGGTACCATCACCTTCAATGGGGCAATCTCGGAGAACGCGCTTGGCGAGAGCTCCGACGGACCGTGCGGACGCGATCGACGCGCTCGCGCGAACACCTTGGCGATTGTGACGTCACGTCAAAGCAAATTGTAATGTTTACCGCGGCCCGATACTCCGTAATAGTATTAACAAATAGCGGAGCGTGCTGTGAGTGTCCAGTATCTTTCAATTGCTTCGACCTATTATGTGACGTCACACCTGAATGGCCAAGACTCTTCCTCGCGAGCGTGTCGGGCGTTGTTGCAGCGTTCGCACAGTGACAGTACGCGGATAAATATATATTCTTGTTCCATTGAGATAGTCCGTAAGCTTCAGCTCGACACTTCTGAGAATCCACGAATCGTGCGATACGAAGCTGAAAAGCGAATGCGAGAGAGAGTGACGGCCGAAGGGAAGGAATTCCGAATTTCCAAGACGGGGTTTACGGAAATCCTTAGGAAAGATCGAGCGATGTCTTGCGAGATCGTAACGCGCAAAAACACCTCCGGTGGACGGGACAAACAGACCGACGTTTGCCTTTCCCTACCACATCCACGGGGGCACGTGGTCACTGGTGCGACCACTTCTGCCTGTATCGCTATCGACGTTTACCTCCGCGTATCGCGCGCGTATGTCCGCGTGGAGCTTCAACAGCCGCGCGTTTATCACGGATCAACGCGCGCGTGCCATCGATCATCGCGGAAGTCCGCGCTTACCGGCCGTTTAATCTCGCACGGCCTAACAGGGCCCTATTCGTTAGACTCGGCTACGAAAAAGTGCAATTAGCAATCTTTCTCTTCAAGCAGCAGTAATCCCCACGGAGCCCGCGGGGAGCAAGATCGCGACACGAGAAACAGGGCCTCAGCGGAATGGCTGACTTCTCGGTTCGAGACAATGTTTCGTGCCTTAAGTCTTTAAATAACGACTGTGTTGAGCCTCAAACTGAAAAGCTGCTCTGTGATTGCGATGACAAAACGCTGCGTCACGAAAGAAAACAAGAGAAGAACGATCATTTCGACGAGGACATCGTCATCGGGGTAAAAGTCATTCCGCTGAGAATCACAGACTTGACGGACCGGGGGTTGGGGGGGGGGGCACGGTCGAAGGTTCCTCGTGGGACTCGCGTTTTCGAGGTGAGAGAACGCGTCACCGAGCACTGGCAAACACGGACCTACGGCGGCCTTTCGCACAGACCTCGGCGAAGCACACAGCGGGCACAGACAACTACGTGGTTCTCTCCTCACAATGCGGACGTACCGGCGAACAGCATCGATAGGTTGGTGAACGCCGTGGTGCGTGGTAGCTCCGCCGCGGTGGTACCGCTGCTCTTGAGGTCCAGCATCGCGCGATGCGGTCCAGCAGCAGCGCGCCGCGAGGCCCGACTCTCGCCGCTCCTACCTTCACCTACGCGCGTGGTCTTTCGCGGCTAGGCAGCCAGCCGCCCCTTCTTATCGCGGCACCGTCGGCGTCGTCTTTCGAATCAGCTGGTGCAGCTGCTGCGACGGCACGAGGCGCGACAACGACGTGGTCATATCAGCAAACGACGTGGCAAACAACGCCTCAGCCTCGGCGAACGGCCGCGAGGGGGAGGAGGAGGAGGAGTAGAGAGTAGTGGAGGACGGCGCGTGACACCACCGTCTCGCCGATGATGATGATGATGATTGTGGTGATGGTGACAATCGTCTTCGTCGTCGTCCTCGTTCTCGTCGGCTGCACGAGCGTATTGTACGTGGACTGCGCGCCGATAAGGGCGCCGATCATCTTGCCGATCCGCTCCGAGCGACACTGCCGGCTGCTCCTCGCGCGCGACGAGAGACGGACGTCGTCGCGACGACGTCCACCGGGGGGTAGACGGACGCGAGAGGGTAGAGGTTCCCGCCCACGTAGGGCGCAGAGGTCGGACGCGGGGGTTGGCTCCGTGTCGAAGCTCGAGGGCCGGGCTTGCCGAGGGTAGGATCGACACCCCCGCGTACGAAAGGGCGGAAGCGCGCCTGCGTATGTCCGCGGCTGTATGGCGGGAGCGACGGCGACGGTAGCCGCTGCGGTACCCCGCCGCCGCCGGCTAGACTTCCGGGGGTGGCGGCGGCGCGGGGTTGCGATCGGACAAGTCGCCGGGCAGCAGACCGACCGGGAGTGCGCGGGCACAGACGACGTACCGGACCTCCTGCACTTACCGACCGGCGCTTGTCGACGACGTAGTAGTTTGCCCCGGTAACGATGTGCCACCGGTTCCCTTCCGGGACAAACCCTCTGCGGTAACGCGTCACGCGCGCTCTCGCGAGGACCGCTTCTCTCCCTCACCCTCTCTCTCTCTCTCTCTTGTAAATAGCTGGATTTAAAGATGCCTTCTATTCCTTACTACTTGAGAAACTACCTAGTAATTGATTTATGCATAGTAACAATTTAGTGATAATAATGTGATAATTTGTAATATGTCGTTTATAGGTAACAAATAATCGTATTAGGTAGCTTAGGGTTATAGAAAGGCATAGGAGAAAAATATTGTCTTGAATCGGGAATAGATGTTGTCATGTATAAGAAAGAATATTATAATCATCTTAGACTTTCAGTCTTGAATAAAGTTCAACACTCGCATCAATATAAATTCAATCAAATTAAGACTAAAAGTCTTCCAAAAAGATTATGATATTCTTGTTCATACATGAGAGAATATCTATTCTTGATTTAAGACTAATTTATTTTCCGCGCACTCTTCGCACAGCACATTTGGTCAACATGTTTTTCTCACGACATTTTTTCCTTGTTATTTCCTGCTAAACGAAACACTGTCAATTACATATCGCACTGCACAAGGCCATATTGCTAATTTACGTAACACGCACCCAGTTTGAACGTATAAACTGTACACTTGATTTTAGCCGTGTTTATCGTTGTAACATTGTATACCTCCGAATCAATTTATTATGTACTTTTTCTTGGACTTGAAGGAATATGTCTTAGAACGTCGAGTAAATAACGCTTTCTTTCTCTCTCTGTTTTTCGCGTCGCACCAGGACAAAATCACCCCCGATGAGGACGACGACGAGGAGACACTCGAGATGGCAGTCCGCTCTCAGTTTGTCGTCTTTAATGACGATGAGCGCATTTTTAATCCTACGCGACGCGTTACGCGACGAGTAACGTAAAGCGAATACGGAGGAATAATAATCGGA